TCAACTATTCAAGTTCATGGTTTCTAAAGATTACCTTTCAAGTGTAGCCAGCACTTCTAGAACGAAGATAAATTGATTCAAAAGGGTTTTCAAGAAGTAAGAGGCAGTGTTCCTTGCTTTAAACAAAAAAGGCTGTGATCGATACACTGTCCATTTCTTAGGGATGGTGCATTCATCATGGTACATTCTAATAACGAACACACCCTTTTGCTCCTGAGCAGCGCTTCAAACTGAATTATGCATTTTTAGTCTCTATCACATTTATGCAGAAATCTAGTATTTCATGGCACAAAAACCCCCCCACAACTAAGCGTATCCAGTTTTGCCAAATGCAGTGTTTATAGTTTTGAAGGTTCCTGTTCTGTCAATGCTCTCTGAAATCAGGAATGATTAAAAAGCTGCTCTCTCAATTTCACAAAGGGAACACAAAGGGAACAAGAAAAATTGCAGCAGCTTTGTCAAGGGATTGCAAGGTGATCCTGAACTCTCAATATTTCAGTGAGGAACAACTGAAACGGTAATTTCTCCTTTGCCAATGCCATACAGACACATTGAAACCAGCCATGTTGAAGTACATGGTATCCTACACACAGAAACATGTACAGGCAGCTGCAGGTGGTTCAGCCATCTGCCCAGGAGGAACTTAAAAGTATCCTGGTTGTCTGTTAGACCCTTGTCTTATGCTGTGACCTTAAGGTGCCCAGAAATGCAGAGCAGTATTTTTCTGCATTGGTTTCAAATAATAATAATAATAATAATAATAATAATAATAATAATAATTTATTTATACCCTGCCCGTCTGGCTGGGCTTCCCCAGCCACTCTGGGAGGCTTCCAACAAAATATTAAAAGACAGTAATGCATCAAGCATTAAAAGCTTCCCTAAACAGGGCTGCCTTCAGATGTCCAGAAGGGACCTGAAGCTGCAGACATCTTTCAGGGTTTATTTATTGGCCATCTGTCACTATGCGCTAATTCTTAATCAATAGCCAGGTGAACTCAGAAATACATAATAAACACACACACAAATTTGCAATTAGGGACAGAAGATTCTGTCAATGTTGGTTTCTTTCAGTTTCTCTTTTTCCACAGCGGTTTGAGGGTTGTTGTTTTTAGTTTGTTTTTTTAAACTCCCCGTGAAGATTCACCAGCATTTTACTGCGAATTTCTCCTACTGTACATAAAGGTAAAGTTAAAGGGACCCCTGACCATTAGGTCCAGTCGTGGCCAACTCTGGTGCTGCGGCGCTCATCTTGCTTTATTGGCCGAGGGAGCCGGCGTACAACTTCCGGGTCATGTGGCGAGGATGACTAAGCCGCTTCTGGAGATCCAGAGCAGCACACGGAAACGCCATTTACCTTCCAGCCAGAGCAGTACCTATTTATCTACTTCCACTTTGTGCTTTCAAACTGCTGGGTTGGCAGGAGCAGGGACCGAGCACCGGGAGCTCACCCCGTCGCTGGGATTTGAACTGCCGACCTTCTGATCGGCAAGTCCTAGGCTCTGTGGTTTAACCCACAGCACCACCCGAGTCCCACCGTACATATATTTGTATGCAAATTTCAGTAATCTGCACTTTTTTTGTGACTCAATTTCCACCAGCTGTAATGCTTTTTAATATTATTCACAGTAACGTATGCATTTATATGCACAATTTGCCCTGTTGCATGCATTCCTGCACATATCACTTGGCTGGAGAACTGCAAATTCAGAGAAGAGCAAACCTTGGAGAAGGGAAGGGCTGTGTCTCAGAAAGTGCTGCTAAGCTCAAACAACAGGAGCTTGTGATCCACTTGTATGTGGGGAGGCTTCTGTGACAGCAGAGCCTTAAAACAGACAACCCTTCACCTGCAGCCTGAAATTGTGCATTCCAGGAAAAAGCTGTCACCACTAGGATCTGCAGATGGTATAAACTGGCCCAGGGTCACCAAGCCTTGCTTCAGAGTAAATCGGCACAGAACTTGCCCATATAGGAAGACTGCCCTGGCGATTAAATGGAATCTTACATTCCATAGGCCCATCAAGTCTTCTGATCTTTAGACAGGCTGCCATAAATATTATATGCATGCCTTTCATAGCTTAGTAATGGAAAGGCTGTAAAAAAATTAATAAAACCCCAAATAACAGGGGGGAAGTATAATTCTCTATTAAAGCTCCACTGAACTTTATCGTGATGGTTTATTTGTGTGGACTATGTACGATTAACAGCCTTCCAGTTTGCTAGCTCAGCAGTAATATCTGGAATTCCTTATGAAATGCAGATTAAACGAGGCTGGTCTAGGCAGACGAAGAAGAAACCTCACGACACACCTTCTTCCTGCTTTTTATCTCAGGCTGCTAACTGCTCTGCGACGGCATGGTCAGCACTCAGCTAAGAACAGAGCTGGAGGCTAAGTGGACAGGGACCACTTTAACAGCATCCCTATTGAACAACCAGCAGAGGCAGCAGTGAGACATGTGAGCGTAAGAACTGTCTGCTGGATCAGGCCCATCCAGTCCAGTATCCTGTCCTCACAGTGACTAGACAGATGTCTATGGGAAGCCCGAAAGCGGGACCTGGGTGCAATAGCACTCTCCCCACCTGTGACTTCCGGAATCTGGCATTAAGCGGCATGCAATGGTGACAAGAGATGCAGTCCCGATGGGCAAAGTATTGTGGGGGTAGATGTGACTCAGAGCCTTGAAGGACTGGAAGAGGGGAAGCCCAAGGAAGCGTGGATTTAAGCTTTTCCTGGAGTACGCTGGAATAAACATCTAAGTCAGGGGTCAGCAAACTTTTTCAGCAGGGGGCCAGTCCACTGTCCCTTAGATCTTGTAGGGGGCCAGACTATATTTTGAACAAAATAATAATGCACGAATTCCTATGCCCCACAAATAACCCAGAGATGCACTTTAAATAAAAGCACACATTCTACTCATGTAAAAACACACGGATTCTATATCCTTCTTTAGGGGGGGGCACAGGGTGGAGGGCATGCAGGCCCTACTGTAAGTGCTTATTTCATTTTGCAAGCCACCTTTGGGGAGTTCTCTGCACACACGAGGAGGTTCACAATATAGCAAAATAAACGGAATGCATAAAGGTAAAGGGACCCCTGACCGTTAAGTCCAGTCGCGGACGACTCTGGGGTTGCGGCGCTCATCTCGCTTTACAGGCTGGGGGTGTCGGTGTTTGTCCGCAGACAGTTTTTCCGGGTCATGTGGCCAGCATGACTAAGCCGCTTCTGGCGAACCAGAGCAGTGCACGGAAACACAGTTTACCTTCCCGCCAGAGCGGTACCTATTTATCTACTTGCACTGGCTTGCTTTCGAACTGCTAGGTGGGCAGGAAACAGAATGCATGCAATAATCTAAAAAACACACACCCAATAATGGCAGCAGCATTAGCAACCATTTGCAAACAAGGGCTTGTTAAAATGAGAAATTTCCAGAGAAGTAGCCATGCTAAGTCTCTTCTGCAGCATGAACAATCAAGAGAGCCTTGTGGGACCTCGGAGACTAACGCATTTATTAAGGCTCTCAAAGCTCTCATGGATTCAAGCCCGCGTTGTCAGATATACAAAGTGAAATCTTAGTTGGCAGTTATAGAAAGGAGAAAACTGTAAGGTGACTGGCAATGAGATGCGGACATTACAGCCAGTATGAATTAGAGCTTAATGTTAAGTAGACACACCTTTAGCCTTTCACTGTAGAAGAATGGTAATAATTGCTGAGATTAGTGTATTAACACCTGTAATGGAGCAGAAAACTGCTTGCAAAGAAATATATAAAATTCCTGCTGACAGAGCACCAGATAATTTTTCTAACAATGATTGTTGTTGTTATCATCATCATCTTCGTCATCCTCATCATATTTAGTACTCACCCTTCACCAGAATGCCAGGGCACCTTGGCCAGGGCAATATAAAATATGGCACTTAAAACAGTTTAAAACAAATCCCAATCACAAGTAGAACGGGTCCTAAAATATACATACAGTATTTCTGAACTGTGAAAGGGCCAGAATAAAGACACAGAAGGTGGCCAAAAATAAATGGGTTTCAAAAACCAGTTTAAAGGTTTGCACAATTGAATCCCCTGAAAGTCCAGATATTGTTATAAACTCAGGACAGTGGCTGTGGCAGAGGTGCTTTTTTCAAGAGTAAGGAGGAAAAGCAGCCCTCACTAACCCAGAATGTCAACACACGGAATGTCACTAGGAAGAGCGTATAATGAGATAAAATGAGATGAGGGAAGTTTGGCCGAACTGTATGCCTCTCTGGGGACCCATAGAGAACACTCTGCATTCGCCCCTTCTTGTTGCTAATGCACATTTACAATCTGGGACAGAAGTAAGGGGGGGGGAGGAGAGTGGCATGAGGACTCGCCATTACAGTAGCCTTACGTTTATAATCCCATTGCTGCAGATGATAAAGCTGATAGTTATGCCGATAGTAAAACATGAAAACTGCTCAACGGTGAAGCCAGATGCACTCCCACCCCCGAAATATGACTTGCCCTTGTCACCGTTATCTCTTGATTTATACCTGGGATGTGCAAAATTTCACCAAGCCCTAAAATGTTTCTTTTGTTAACTCCAAGCTCCCCAAAATGTGGTGCAAATTCCAAACGCAAACCTGTCTCTATCCTCGCTTTGTCTGTAATCCAGTCATCGCAAACTGCATTAGCACAAGACAGTTTGGTGGACTGGCTTAGAGAAGATGATGCTAAACATGCCGTGTGGCAGAACACCAGGTGACTGGCCAATCTTTAATTCACTTGCAGACTTGTCACTTGAAATTTTATGGAGCCTGGGTTGTTAAAAGAGGCCACCTCTATGTTGTAGCCGGAAAAAAATAGTTACTGCTGAGATTTCTCCTTGAAATTACCATATTTTTCGCCCTATAGGACACACTTTTCCCCCTCCAAAAATGAAGATTCTAGTCTGCTTTTGTGTTTGTTAATTTCAACACACACACACTAAAAACAACACAGCGGAAGAGCGTTTCAGAGATATGGTACCTGGACGGGTAGCCAGCTGCACTGATGCGGATGGTCTCCAAGACGCCACAGGCTCTCAGCTGCTGGACTGCTCTCTTTGGGTCAAAGCTGCAAAGAAACAAATTTATAGCACCTATGAACGTGGCAATGCAATACATCTAAAAGCCCTAACAGCAGTTTTTTTCAGGCAGCCCAACTGTTAGCAATGCCAAGCAGCGTAGTAATGAGGACAGAAATTTGCCCAACCAGAGGAGGTTTCATACAGATAAGGCTGTGGGCTTCTCCTTTTAAGCAGGGGTTGGGTTGCCATCTGCCATGGATGCTTCAGGGGGTTGGACTAGAGGGTCCTCCCAAATCTATGATTCTACGACTTCCCTAGGAGTACTTCAACATTCACTAAAATTTACCGTATTTTTCACTCGATAACACGCACCTGACCATAACACGCACATAGTTTTTAGAGGAGGAAAACAAGAGGGAAAAAAATTCTGAATGAAACAGTGGATGTATCATTTTTGTGCTTCATGCTGTGGCCACAGACATGTGATTTGATGGTGAGTTTGGGCTGACCCAATGCAGAGATCCTGAGGACCCATGTGGATCCATGCTTTGTAACCATGTTTTTGAACCATTGCAGCCCCAGGCAACAGTGGGTGCGTGATTTTTTTGGTGCAGGCTGTAGCCATGGACATGTAATGTGATCTGATGGTGAATTTGGGGTGACCCAATGCAAAGATCCTGAGGATCCATGTGGATCCGCGCTTTGTAACCACGTTTTAAGTGGGGTGGGAAGGAAAAACACAGAAGGGACAAGGAGCACGAGAGGGGTGTGCGGAGAAGCAGCTGGCTAACAATGCAGGAGAGGGGTTTGTACTCGGGCCAGTTGGCTCCAGGGACCACACATTCGCTCAATAACACACACAGCCATTTCCCCTTACTTTTTAGGAGAAAAAATGTGAGTGTTATAGAGAGAAAAATACGGTAAACTGTAACCGAAAGTGGGGTGGAAATAGAGAAATTTAGCGCATTGCAAGAAAAGAATCGCTATGAGGATCTTGCAAACCATTTCTGGATTTGGAAACACTAAAGCATTCTAACTACATTCTGCAAGGGCACGGGGAGCTTCTGATGTGGGCTGACAGCCCTCTCAATCTGGCCTTTGGGGCTCTCCCCAAACTTCACTCCCTCTCCCCAGGCAACTTCCCTAATCAGCCCATGCAATTTGGGGGTGGGGGTGGGTCAGGGGCACAGAAGTGAAGGGAAAATGCTTTTGATTAGCTGGGATGTGTCCCTGAACTGTAACAATGCTTATCGCATGCCAGGTTGAAGGATGGAGAGATGCGGTAATAGGTGGTGATATAGCATCCTCTGGCTTTTGTGTACCTGGAATGTCCCTGGTGTACATCTGCTGCCCCACTAATTTTTGCTTCTGCCCCCCCCCACCTCTAGCATAAGGAGAACATGGTCTATGAGGGAACCTTGCCCTCTGGTTGAAGAAAACAAAACAGTTCCCTGTCCCTGACACTAAGCAGAGGTCACCTTCAATTTCCCAGCACCAAGGAGGTGCATGGGATCACTGCTTTCAACCTGAAATGAATTCCTAATTCTGGATCCTACTTGTGGAAGGCCTTTTCACCCCCCTTCAGTGAATAACTGGTCTGAAGGCAGCCCTGTATCAGGAAGCTTTTAATGTTCAATGTTTTATTATGTTTTTTTTGTGTTTGGAAGCTGCCCAAAGTGGCTGGGTGAAATAATATAAATATAAATATAAATATAAATATAAATAAATATAAATATAAATATAAATATAAATATAAATATAAATAATATAAATATAAATATAAATATAAATAATATAAATATAAATATAAATATAAATATAAATATAAATATAAATATAAATATAAATATAAATATAAATATATTGGCAAGTTCACAATTTGCCAGAACTGAATTAGAAACTCCAGGATTGCTCGCCAGTTTCCTTTTCTGTGGCTCAAAATCTTCAGCAATTGCTGTCAACATTTAATATTTGCAAATCCAGAATCAATGAGCAGTTTTGAGTAGCTCTTGATGCACCATAATAGCAGAAATACGCCGCCTCCTGGTATTCGCCACATTATAAAATCCATCAAAGCTGTCAATCCCACAGCAAGTGATCCATTATTTTATCATGAAGTCAAATGCACAAGGAGCAGACATTTAGCACATTATTCCAGCGAGCAGCTCAGCAGTACGTGTGCTCGTGGGTGTGTGCGCGCCATTTTAATAATAATAATAAATAACACTAGCAATTTTGCTTTGACTGAGCACCTTTCATCATGCAAACTCCCAAAGCAATTCTTTATGTTGGCTATAACAAAGAGACCTCTCTGAAATGCTGCTGCCACGATCAAACTCTTGCCACTTTGGGACAGAGTACAGCAGTTATTCAACAACACGTTTAGGAAGAAGCGGAGCGTATCGCAAATTTCACTGGAGTAACCTTAGCAAAAGTTAAGCGAGGGAATGAATTTCAGTAGGGACAAATGTAAGATTCTGCACTTAGGCAGGAAGAACCAGGTGCACAAATATAAGATGAGGGACGCCTGGATTGCCAGCAGTGCATGTGAAAAGGATCTAGGGATCTTAGCAGACCACAAGCTTAACTTGAGTCAATAGTGTGATGCAAGAGCAAGAAAAGCTAATGCTATTATAGGCTGCATCAACAGAAGCATAGTGTCCAGATCAAGGGAAGTAATAGTACTGCTCTATTCTGCCTTGGTCAGACCACACCTGGAGTATTATGTCCAGTTCTGGGTGCCACAATATATAGGATTAGGGGAAGGGCAGTGGCTCAATGGTAGAGCCTCTGCCCTGAATACAGAAAGCTCTGGGTTCAAACCTCAGCATCTCCAGGTGGGGCTGGGAACACCCCCTGTCTGAAACGCTGGAGAGCTGCTGCCAGGGCTAGGTGAACACAGCATAAGGCAGCTGTCACCCCCTATGGAAAGACACATTTCTAAAGGCTCATTGCAGTGATCAGCATCGGGCAGGATTACAATTACAATTATAAAAGAGGGCCTTCTCAGTGGTGGCACCCACCTTGTGGAACACCCTCCCATCAGATGTCAAGGAGATGAGTAACTATATAACCTTTAGAAGACATCTGAAGGCGGCCCTGTATAGGGAAGCTTTTTAAGATTTAATACTTTTAAATATGTTGGAGGCTGGGGCAACCCAGTCAAATGGGTGGGGCACAAATAACAGCAGCAGCAACAACAACAACAACTGACAGGCAGACATTAACTATCTCATGGTCTGCTTAACTTCAGCCTATTGATGTTCTTGTCTTGTCGTACGTACCTGAAAGGAAGCTTCTCATCATTTGGCTTGATGCAGCGTACGTAATGGGGAGTGGTGGCATTCAGGGTCTCCATAAGCAAATGTAAGGAGTTACGGAACTGGAAGAAACAATTAAAAAGACAACCCATTCCTGAAATTAGATGACATAATGTGGGGTGTAACATCACTTTATTTTTCTACACCTGATTACACTTAATGAGCAAGTGCTAAATCTGTGAGATGACTCAGCCCTAGAGCGTAGCATCTCTACCTGTGAAGCCTTGCCCACTCTTCTTGACACTGCCGTCAAGTGAGGAACATGCACATGGAAACACGTGTAAAAGGGGGAATATGAATAGTTTGCCCCATCCTGGTCACTGCCTCGTGGCTACAGCATGTGTGAATGACACAGTGTCATGGTGACAAACTGCTTGCTTCACAACTCCTCAAATGCAATCCTTTTTCAGCAGAGACTGTTCAGGGATTTCGGTGTGTGTGTGTGTGTGTGTGTGTGTGTGAGAGAGAGAGAGAGAGAGAGAATTGGCCTTTTAACATCACAAAACAGCAAGGGAGGAATGGACCCAAAGGACATCAGATTCTATGCTCCCGCCTCTAGGCAGGATCCTGCCCAAATTGCTCCGGATATTTTAATAGGAAAACAGTGCATATGGCATTTTAAATAAATACAATAGGGTGCAATTCAACATCATGCTGAGGCATTCATTCTGTCAAGAGTAAGCATTTCTGTTTGCCAGACAGAGCCATCTCTCCCTGGAGAGGTAGCAGGGGGAAAGAGAGGGCAGAAAGTTGCACGGCGCTAGCAGGACAAATCGCAATGGTTTCTGCTAGCACAACAACATGTTTGGATCTGGCCCAAATATTGCAAAACCCACCTGGCAAGGATGCCACACGTAAGAGTGGAAGACAGAATCTGGGGCTCACTGAACCACAGACGGCTGTTAAGTTAAATAACTGCAAGGACTGATAGCTATTCTGGCCTGAGAGAAGCCTTCTTTTGGAACTTAAATTGAACTAGTTAATATTTGTTACACGTATGAATCGCTTCCAATCTGGAAGCAAAATATCATGGTCGGCATATGGAAGAAATCTGACCCTTAGAATGGTCACTGGGGTGGTTTTGTGCCCTAATAAATTCTCCTGCCCCCAGATCTAAGCAGAAGGCAAAAGAAATGCCAAACCACCCCAAATATTAAGGTGGTGGCAGGTGGAGGGGAATACCAAAATTTCCCCCCAAATATACTAAAATAAATAAATTGATTTATTTTAGTATATTTGGGGGAAATTGTGTATATTTGAAAACGTGGGCAGCATTAAGATAAATTCAACAGTGTAAATAAGTTTTGATGGATGTAATAATGGAATACTCAATGGTTTAGTTTACATAAAATATTCAGGGATTTATGTTATGGAAAATGAACCATGGAAAGAGTAGAAGGGAAGTCATTGATATTTTAAGGTTGTTTAAATGAATATTCTAAAATGTAAAACAGAAAATTTAATAAAAATTAGGGGGGAGAATACCTAAAATTGGCAGCATAATTTAAGTAAATAAATGCATCCAAGCATTAATGTTCAATGTTGGTTATTCACTTAAGTCTTAACCTTTTGGTGTGACAAAGAGTACGAATAAAAGGTAAAAAGGTAAAGGACCCCTGGACGGTTAAGTCCAGTCAAAGGCAACTATGGGGTTGCGGCGCTCATCTCGCTTTCAGGACGAGGGAACCGGCGTTTCTCCGCAGACAGCTTTCCGGGTCATGTGATCAGCAGGACTAAACCGCTTCTGGTGCAACAGAACACTGTGACGGAAACCAGAGCGCATGGAAACACTGTTTACCTTCCCACCACAGCGGTACCTATTTATCTACTTGCACTGGTGTGCTTTCAAACTGGCAGGAGATGGGACAGAGCAACAGGAGCTCACCCTGTCACGGGGCTTCGAACCGCTGACCTTCCAATCAGCAAGCCCAAGAGGCTCAGTGGTTTAGACCACAGCGCCACCCGCGTCCCTATAAAGACTACGAATACTGCAATGGGAATGCAAAAGTTCCACCGAGAGTGTGTGAGAACAATTTCCTACCTGATGCCCGACAGTTTTCTTGTGCTCTTTATTGGCTGCTTTCACAGTTGGACGGGCAGAGCGGATATTGATTTTCGAGGAAGCTCCTTTTCCAGTCGCAGCAGCCGGCGCGGGGTCTTTCCCATCATGAAACAAGTCGGCTACCATGGGGTACTGCAAAGAAGGAAGAAAGGCTTGGACTGTTTAGTGCTCTTGCTACGGCGGTCAGGAAAACAGGCTTGGCTTCCCCTGGTCAGCAAAGGCACGCTCAGAGCCCTCGCTGAAAGCCAAGGTTTTTAAACAGTGCTATGCTAAATGCAGCCAGGTGAGAACTGCCATATCAAATGCAATTAAATATTTTTCTGTATCTCTTAGAGCCAAAGGAGACCTGATGTTAAGCAGGTTGCTTAAAAATAAATAAATAATAATTTGTTGCTAGCTGGTGTGGTGGTGCAATTCCTTTGAGACCACAGTATATAAGAAAGGGGGGGGCGAACATTTTAGGAATGCAAGAAGCTGCCTCATACCAAGCCAGACTGTGGCAAGACCACCACAGGTATTCCATATACCCTTCCAACAAGACCACCTGTCTGACTAGCTCAGTATCGTCCGCCCCGTGGTTCTCAAATATTTTTCCCCTCCACAGACCCCTGGAAAATCGCTGAGGGTTTTTTGGCAGACGACTTAATGATTTTTCTGCCAGTTGTAATTGCCCTGTGCTAGGTGCTGTGTGATTTTTAACGGTATTTTTACACACATTGCTGCAGGCCACCTGATGGGAACCCCCCCCCCCAATCTACACAGATTCAGGCAGAAGTCTTTTCCTCAGCCCTACATAGAGATCCCAAGGATTCAACCCAAGACCTTCTGCTCCACGAGGCTGAGGTTTAGAAAACCACAGTAACAATTGACTGAGGGAAGTAGATCATAGAATCGAAAAGTCGGAAGGGACTATGGGATCATCTAGGCCACCACCTCCAACACAAGGAATCTTTCGCCCCATGTGGGGCTCAAACCCACGGCCCTGAGTTTAAGAGTCTTGTGCTCCAGCAACTGAGTTTAAGCATGTTTAGCCTGGAAAAGAGGACAGTGGGAAGAGATATGAGAGCTATCTTCAAGTATCTAAAGGGCTGCCACATGGAAGATGTTACTCCAAGATTGTTTTCTCCTCCTCTGGAGGGTAGGACTCGAACCAGTGGCTTCAAGTGGCAAGAAAGGAGATTCCGACTAAACCTCAGGAAGAACGTTCTGACAGTAAGAGCTCTTTGGTACAACAACAAGTAACCAAACAATATAACCTCTGTGTTGTAAACGATAGTAGTAATGTCCAAGGCAACACAATGACCAAATACAATGATACAATATCAATATACACTCTTTATATAATATGAAATATATGAAATCACATAAACAGAAAACTTACGAATCTCTGAAAGTCACAAATTATGCACAAATTATTGCACAAGAAGCAATGTATCAGATTATTAGCTGGTGAAAATAGGCTGTAAAGCTTTGTTTATGGAGTCCAACGCTGCCCAAGTAGTTCGCAAACAGACGTTGTGAACAGTGATTCTGGATATACCCGCTGTTTCGTGGAATTCTTCTTCAGCACAGCAGGAGGATACAGAATTGCTTCATAAACCCATCTCTATGGTGACTGGAAAAGTAGAACAACAATTGCTATGGAGCAGTGGTCATAAAGTTACCGTATTTTTTGCTCTATAAGACTCACTTTTTCCCTCCTAAAAAGTAAGGGGAAATGTGTGTGCGTCTTATGGAGCGAATGCAGGCTGCGCAGCTATCCCAGAAGCCAGAACAGCAAGAGGGATTGCTGCTTTCGCTGCGCAGCGATCCCTATTGATGTTCTGGCTTCTGAGATTCAGAATATTTTTTTTCTTGTTTTCCTCCTCCAAAAACTAGATGCGTCTTGTGGTCTGGTGCGTCTTATAGAGCAAAAAATACGGTATGTGGTCACTGCTACACTGCTTCTTTCAGAGACTTGCATAGTCTTCAAAGACTTTCAGAGACTTATAAGACTTATGTTTATTTGGTTTTATGTTTTTAAGAGAATCCATCAAGAGTGCATAATTTGTGACTTAGGTTCCTAAGTTTTCTGTTTACGTGATTTCATGTATTTCATATTATATAAAGAGTGTATATTGATATTGTATCATTGTATTTGGTCATCGTGTTGCTTTGGATATTACTAGTAAGAGCTCTTTGACAGAGGAATGGATTCCCTCAGGAAGTGGTGGGCTCTCCTTCCTTGGAGATTTTTATAAGCAGAAGTTTTAAGTAGAGGTCCCTTTAAAGCAGCGGTTGAATCACACCTGTCTGGGATTCTTTAGTTGAGATTCCTGAATTGCAGGGGTAATAATAATAATAATATAAAAAAATTTATACCCCACCCATCTGGCTGAGTTTCCCCAGCCACTCTGGGCGGCTTCCAATCAAGTGTTAAAAACAATACAGCGTTAAATATTAAAAACTTCCCTGAACAGGGCTGCCTTCAGATGTCTTTTAAAGATAGGATAGCTGCTTATTTCCTTCACATCTGAAGGGAGGGTGTTCCACAGGGTGGGTGCCACTACCGAGAAGGCCTTCTGCCTGGTTCCCTGTAGTTTTGATTCTCGCAATGAGGAAACCACCAGAAGGCCCTCGGCACTGGACCTAATTGTCCGGGCTGAACGATGGGGGTGGAGACGCTCCTTCAGGTATACAGGACCAAGGCCATTTAGGGCTTTAAAGGTCAACACCAACACTCTGAATTGTGTTCGGAAACGTACTGGGTTGGATTAGACGACAGTGAAGATCCCTTCCAACTCTACAATTCTAAGATTCTATGATGTATTTTTTCCCCTCTCTCTCTCTCTCTCTCTCTCTCTCAGGTATGCACAATTATAAGATAGTTTTGAGATAAAGTTACTGAAGGGCTCTGGCCGTCATGGAAACACTTGAAAAACTTTCACGGGCTAAACACATCGAATATAATTTAGAAGAACTTACTTTCAGCAAGCACAGCCCAGGCACCCCCCCAAAAAAACTCTCTACCTCACAGCACTTCTGTCACAAAAGAAAATGCCATTAGCCCCATTTCAAAACACTGACCCAAGATGCATATCAGAACTACAAGGAACTTCAAAAGCAGAATCTCCTTTGCATTGCCTTTATTAAGACGGGACTGTAATTTTCCGTCAGTTCCTCTTGGAGATTAATTAGCCGAACCTTGTTTGCATATCTGCCAAAATCCCACTGAGCTAAGGATCTGTTTGCATGGTATTATCATCATCTGGCCTGACGCAGGACTCTGTGTTTGTTTTATGCTTGCTGGGCTTTATTCTAATCACAGCCGCCCACAGAATCCTTTTGTCTGCCTATCTCCTGCCTCCAGCAGGCTTCTCTTGGGCTAACACCTTCAGATAAGCTGGGGAGGTCTAGCGATAGCACATGGTCACAATCTCTCAGCCTCACCTACATGACAGGGCCGTTGTGAGGGAGCCCTGAGTTCTAGCTTCTCACCTCGTGCAAGAGTAACAGAGCAAATAGTTAAAACAGCACATAGTTCAGAATAGAAAACCCATAGTTCAAACTATGGAATTTGCTGCCGCCACAAGATGTACTATGAACTGATGGAGGACGTCTGTCAGTGGTGACTGGTAACAATGGATATATTACTGACAACATCAGAAGCAGTATACTGGGGAATAACATTGGGAGGTGGTAATTGCCCTCCTTGTGGGTTTCATAGGAGCATGTGATTGGCCACTGTGGAATCAGAAAGCTGGACTAGGTGGAGCTCCCTGTTATCTGAGGGATAGTTGAGTCAGTAGAGCATGAGACTCTTAATCTCAGGGTCGTCGGTTTGAACCCCATGTTTGGCGAAAAGATACCTGCATTGAAGGACTAGATGACCCTGGCAGTCCCTTCCAACTCTTCAGTTCTGTGATTTTACAATTCTATGTTCTTAAAGAATTTATGCTGCTATTCAGGGACTCTTCTGACATTTCAGTTCCTTCTCCCCTTTGGAGCAACACGTGCAGGGCAGCAGCCATTTAACTGTGGAAGCGACACACAGCTTTCCCATAACGAACAACCAGGCGCGAATTTGAGACCAGCGGAAAAAAACAACGCCAAGGATTCCCCCCCCCCCAGGAGCATCGCAAGGTGCACATCTTCTACATGAACATGAACACTTTTGACATGAAAGAGATGTTTGCACTCAAGCACTCCAAGGCCCCTTGCATCACAAGTATTATTTCAAAACAAGAGCAATAGATCGTGGTGCCAGAAAGCAGCTCTCAGCCTCAACACGGAACAGCTTCTCTTTACCCTTAACTTACTCCCTGTTGTGGCGTGCCTGGCTATTTCCGAGGGTGTGTGTGTGGGGGGGTGTTTCAGAGATATTTTACTGCAATTTTTGTGCTGTGTGCTCAGATGGGGAAAAGCGGGACAATTGAAGTGAGGTTTGTTCTATTTGGCAGTAGAGACATCACCTTGCCAACAAAGGTCCGTATAGTAAAAGCTATGCTTTTCCCAGTAGTGATGTATGGAAGTGAGAGCTGGACCATAAAGATCGCCAAAGAATTGATGCTTTTGAATTATGGTGCTGGAGGAGACTCTTGAGAGTCCCATGGACTGCAAGAAGATCAAACCGATCCATTCTGAAGGAAATCAGCCCTGAGTGCTCTCTGGAAGGACAGATCCTGAAGCTGAGACTCCACTACTTTGGCCACATCATGAGAAGAGAAGACTCCCTGGAAAAGTCCCTGATGTTGGGAAAGATGGAGGGCACAAGGAGAAGGGGACGATGGAGAATGAGATGGTTGGATAGTGTTCTCGAAGCTACCAGTATGAGTTTGACCAAACTGCAGGAGGCAGTGGAAGACAGAAGTGCCTGGCATGCTCTGGTCCATGGGGTCACGAAGAGTTGGACAGGACTAAACGACTAAACAACAACAACAAAATGCTTGCAGAGATGGAACCTTTGAAATAGTGTGACTCTGAATTCCACCCAGTATGTTTAGGATAGCAACTTTTTAAAAAAAGTCCTTTTCTCTCCTGCAATAGAGCAAACATCTCTCCTGTACTGATTTGCTTCTTGAAAGGAGCAAACAGGGCCGGTCCTTTATCTGCAAGAAAGGCTCCTTTATCTGCAAAAAGCCTTCCTCTCCTCCCTTCATTCCATCTGTACTAATACACCTACAGAAGCAGGATCTGGGCAAGCGCCACTGTTTTGTGCGCAGGAGAAAGATGTTCACCACAGCTCATAGTAACAGTAATAAATCTGTCCAGCCAGAAGCTGCAAGACTGCAAGAAAGGTTTTTGTTTAACTCGCAGACTGCTAACCGGAATAGAATCTTGTTCACAATATCGCACCAACGCTTTGGAGTTCCTTCTTGGGCTCTTTTTATCTGCTTGCTGCTCCTCTCTGCTCCTCTGGCTCAGAGCACCTGAATCCTAACAATGAAGTGAAATTAACCTGCCATTTAAACTGTGTTATCTGCTCCATGCAGTCTGCCTTGTGTCCCAATCTCTTTGGGGGAAGCTCTTCGCTGCCCCTGCTGCTGCCTCCCGCCCTCCCTCCCAGTCTGGCTGATTTTCCAGGAGTTCTGGTTGGACTTTCGCCTTTGAATTTCTCTGGGGAGAACAGCCACTGAAAGCAGATGAAAGGGGAGCGCATACCTCTAGGGCAGCCTTTCTCAACCTTGGGTCCCCAGATGTTTTTGGCCTACAACTCCCATCATCCCTGACCACTGGTCCTGTGAGCTAGGGCTCATGGGAGTTGCAGGCCAAAAACATCTGGGGACCCAAGGTTGAGAACCACTGCTCTAGGGGATAAGCATTCGACTCATGTGCCCCTTTGGGGGGAAAATCTATTTGCAAAAGAGGGGAAATAATCAAAGGCTTACTACACATGGCTTGTGGCTCACTAGGGTGTTTATGGCAATCTTGCTTTGAACTGCTGAGTTTTGCAGTTTTTGCACATGTGTGTACACACACACACACACATGCACGCAAATGTTTAATTCTAACTGTAGCCATAGGGGTTTAAGCAGTATCATTTTTAAAAAAATATACAGTGTATATAGAATATGGATAGATATCTTTTCGAAATGAGAGCAAGAACATCAAGTAATACTGCAAACTCACACCCTTCATTGAATTTATACACATACATAAGAGGCTCATTTATAATTATATTTCGGGACGGATTCGTGTCCTTATGTAGCTGTTTTGTTTTATACTTTCTGGAAGTTCCATGATCATATTATAAAGCAGTTGCGCTCTGCGTAATAAATCAAGCCCTGCTAGGAGTTGTATCTTTCTGTTTTCCAATGCATTCTTACCAGTAAAAAATATTCAGTGTGGCACGAGCAAATTTTCATTCTGAAAGTGTGGCCTAGGGGAAAAAGTTTGAGGACCACTGGCCAGCAGCAAGGGCTTGATGGAGTCGCAAAGTCATTGTTGCTTCTAGAGCCCTGTGGCAGTGGTCCTGTGCCAGTTTGGCTCCATTCCATCCTTCTGAAATGCCCCCTTACTGGGGTTTCCACTGGTTACCACCACTGGGAAAGCTACTGGTGGTTTATTCCACCTGCCATCTGAGAAGGTGCATCGCAGTGCTCCTTGAGTTGTGTTGCCAAGGCCAATCGAATCAGGCAGGGCTGGTTGGAGGGACACCCAGCACAATGGACTGAGAACTTGAATTGTTTTGCCCACTTATATACAAGGATCACCCCGCGTAAAGTATCAACAACTGAGGGCTAAACACAGAAGGATCTAGCTGTGGCAAGGAACCCACAACTCAGGAGGCAAGAGTACCAACCAGAATGTTAATGTACATCCCTTGGCTACCTTGGGGCCAGGAGTCAGCTAATATTTGGTAACATCTGGTCATTGTGAGCTCTTCAAGAGCCCTCTACCCCCATGAGGACTCTTGCAGATTGTAGTATGCCAATGATACCTTGCACTATTTTAATGAAACCAAGATGGACACTTCTTCTCCACAATTCAATCTTAAGCGAATCATTAAGGATGGGAAGCAAGAAGAGGAGGCTAAGCAGGAACCAGGAGTGATGCTGGAATGTCAGTTTTAAGTTTATTCCGCCCCCTGGTATCTCAGAGTTTACCTTGCTGGCCTTCAGTATATTGATCTGTTCTTCATGTACAGTGTCTCTGTTTTTCTCCAGAAATCCATCACACTGGTACTCCACCTAGGACACAGGGAAACACAGAAGGTGTGAGTTAAGATTCTGAATATAGATTATCCTAACAAAAAACCACCCAGACATTTTTTCAGACACAGAGATGAGCCACAAGGTTTCAAAAACATTGTTTTTGGTGGCATCCTGAATCTTATCTACGCCCATGATGGAATCCTCAAGTGATTGGTTTGTGACTTCCCAAATTCAGTCTGAGTTGACCCACACATATATACACACACACACAAAACACTGCCGGCCATCTTGTTCCTTGCCTTTCTGCTTCCAGTATCTCAGCGATTCTGAATACCAGAAACTTATAAAAGTCAGGATTTTAACATGAATCTATGGAATAATACACGAACAAGAGCTATATAGAGCAGATGTTTCCCGAATATAAGCCAACTGTGCTCTTGAGACTTTTAAGCCTCTGAAGTTCTTATGGCATAAACTTCCAGAGAAAATGATTCCCCAGATAATAGCTTAGTTTAAGGCAGAAGGCTGGACAAAAGTTACCTAGTGAAATTTACAGTGGGGTGGTTGTTGTTGTTGTGGCAAATAATTCTAGCTCTTTCCCATCTATCCTCGAAGCTTAAGGCAGAAAGCACATTTCAGTCTGAACCAACAAATAAGGAAAGTATAAAAATCTCTCTCAGGTCGGCATCAAGGAAATCAGAACCAGACCTCTGAGGAAATCAGTCGTTAACAGAGAGCTAATTATAAGGATAATCAACAACATTTAGAGACCTCTCTGGAAATTGCTTTTCATTTCCTTTTCAAAACACATGCAAACCGTACATGTTAATTGAGGCCCATAAAATATGCTTATTTGCTCTGAGCTTAGTCTCCAAGCTTTTAAGAAGCAGATCTTAAAGATTGAGAAATAGATCTTTAAAACTCGCAGGCTAGAAGCATCTCCCAGAATCTTTCCTCAATACTTTAGATATCACAGATCGAGCAATAATAGTCCATAAAGTATCTCAGACTTCTTTTCAAGGATTGTTACTATGAAAAATTGCACAAATTTTTAAAATTTCACTCCGTGGAACCCTTTTCACACTTACCTTTCCCTATAAAAAATTCCAGAGCCCTTCTAATTTAGATCCAATCATGCAACAGCAGAAGATCCATTTACTTAAATCTGTGTGTGCCCCAATGGTCCAATGAAAATTGGCAGTGGAGGTCTACATTTTTCGACCAAAGCGGACAGACAAATATAGGAAGTTGGAGCCTTTCTGCACCTAACACTGACTTTCCCACTGTGCTTTTTGCTCACAAGCACATCTACTCTAACTGGTCTCACTTCCAGAACCAAAGCTGGACTGAGGAATGAAGCACGAGGGGGAAGGGGAGAAGGCAGGAGATCAGCCCCAACTAATGTGCCTCTTTTGCTCAGATTCCCGCAGCTGGAACTAAACAGGTATACCTTCCATGTGCAGTCTGAGAGCCATAGAAAGGAAGGGACATTAAGAAGGCCAAGTGTCCTTCAAAGAAGGACAGTCAACTTTAACAAAGAGCTTTTAACCGCATCTGATAGCAGAAGCTCCAGACTTATTTTTCTCTGATTTGTATCCATCGCTCTAGCCAATCAATACATAATTATGGCCCTGCATCTAGGCTGCCAGGTATCCATCGCAGCAGACCAGAGTGATGGGCCTTACTCAGTGAACACCTAGGCCATTGCTTCTCTAATCCATCAAGGTGCTGTCCCATTTAACTGAACATGACTTGGCACTAGTGTGGGAGAGAGACTGTGTATGCAAGTTCTCTCCACCCATCCTCGCAGCTGTTCCTTTGAGAGTCTGCTATTATTATAACTTGAAATGCACACAAGAGAATCAAGGGGGAGATGGCAAGGTACATTAGGCTGAGATGGTGAACCCTGTCCAAGCATACTGAGGCAGCTTCAAGGTTGACTGGGGAGTTGGACATGGGTCTCTCTGGCAGGGTTGCCAACTGTTTTGGGGCCATGTTCCTGTAATTTAACCATCTGGCATGAATTAAGAGTCATTTCTAAGAAGTGAGGTACTTGAATCTGCTGTTAAAAACTGCCCTACCTATTTCCTAGTCTGTTTGTTTGTTTATTAAACTTATATCCCACCTTCCTCCTTGAAGGGTGCCCAGGGCAGCTAACAGCATAAAATCTGATAAGACGACAGTGGACGCTTGGGTTGCGAACGTGATCCGTGCGGGAAGCACGTTCACAACCCACAGCGCAGTGTCTGCGCACGTGCGGGTCGCGATTCAGTGCTTCTGCGCATGCGCAAAGCACCAAAACCTGGAAGTATAGTGACCTCCAGATAGAGTCCATCAGCCCAAGCCAGCACAACAAATGGTCAGGGATGATGGGAATTGTTTTTTATTAATTACAGTGGACACTTGGGTTGCAAACGTGATCCATGCGGGAAGCACGTTCGCAACCCACAGCGCCGTGTCTGCACATGTGCAGGTCACAATTCGGCATTTCTGCGCATGCGCAAGCACCGAAACCTGGAAGTAATCCGTTCAGCGCGGTGCGCAACCCAAAATCATGCAACCCGAAGCGTCTGTAACCCAAGTTATGACTGTACATCCAAAGGTAGTAATTAAAAATGACAGCTTTAAAATCCACAGTGCCTGCCTGTTTCAGAATGCAACAACGAAATTACCCGTAAAACAAAGCTGAAAAACAACCATCTATAACCTTCAAATGTGATTAAAATCAACAATAAAACCAGACTGAAATTCATGCCGACATTCTGTTTGAAAAAGCAAAACCCATTTTTAGGAGGTGCTGAAAAGACTACAGCAAAGGTGCTTGCCTGGTGTCAATAAGCAGGGAGTTCCAAAGAGAGGGAGTTCTGCTATACCATAGTGGCTCTCACCATGATGCAACTGAATGAAGCAGCTGGAACTGGAGCTCCCATCCTACCCCCCCAAATGCAGGCTTTCAATTCATTCCTACATTGCAGGTGGTTGGGCTCTTGGGGTTCTTCCCAACTCTACAATTCTATGATTCTAGACTAGCCTGAACATTTGAAGACAAAGAGGAAAGTAAACACATTCTCAGCAGCTGCCACAAACCACACGCAGCCCATCGCCACACAGAACGCAGCCGAACGCAGCACACTCTCCAGCCGCCCCTATTACCTTATCTGCAAAGTGCACAACTATAAAGGAGATGTTTGACATGCGAGGCTTCTGGAAGTGCTGGCTGCTGCCATGGCGATCGTACAGCTTCTGAGCCCAGTTCTGATCTGTTCCCTTAGGGACCTTGAAGAAAGAAAGGGAGGGAAGCGAGAGGTGTTAACACAGAAACACATCAATATTCAGCATAAAAGCACATGCCTTATGCTGATTTTGCAAAATGTTGTTAGGGTCGAGGCAGCTCTGAATGGAGATTTGCACTGCCAGTTTGTTCCGCAGCAATGATACGATTATAGTACACGACGATGACACGACCAGTACCACTTGCACTAATCCAGCCTTCACTTACCTGTGGCTCCTCAGATGTCTTCGACTACAACTCCCATTAGCTTATGAAAGCTGTAGTTCAAAACATCTGGGAGGTCCCAAGTTGGTACAAGCTGGATTAGTGTATTTTTCTGGTAAAATTTACCCAAGGACAAAACCCCTGTGAACAACTATTCTGGACGTGTATATCTCACTTCTCCTCCAAGGACCTCAAGTCTACCTGCATGGCTCTTCCTTTCACCATGTTATCCTTACAACAACCTTGCGAGGTAGGCTATAAAAGACTGTGACCGCTTAAGGTCACCCAATGAGCCTGACTGATTGGCGATTTGAACCCTGATCTTTCAGATCCTAGTCCAGCCCTCTAACCACTGCAGAGGTTGGGCGGCCGTCTGTCATGTATGATCTAGTTGAGATTCCTGCATTGCAGGGGGTTGTACTAGACAATTTTCAGGGCCGCTTCCAACTCTGCAAGTCTATTCTAACACATGCAAAACTGGTACAGCCCAGATATTGACTGATCTGTCCATTCCTAGCTGCAGGTAGTTAAGAGACTGAACTGAGACCTCATCAAAACATGCTAGCACCCCAGCAACATACCAAATAGGTAAGCATCTTTGATGGCAAACTGTGACACTTGTATTGGTCAGGCTTTTCGTGGTTTGAGAATAAAACGTTTTGAGCGATTTACTTTTATATTTACCCCAACATTTTCCTTACAACTTTTATTGCACCATTATCACCCCTTACAGCAATGCTACTAGCGCTTGAGAAAACAGTAAACAAATATTTATGCAGAAATGAAGCACCAAGTTGATTCATTCAGGTTGCATCCTCTGTTTCGGCAAAACAAGGAAGCTCAGCACCAAAAGACAATAGCTTTTTAAAGTTTAAAGCGCTTAGTGTCTTAATTACTCAAAGCAGATATACACCTAGGCGGAAAACACGTATTTCAGCAGTAACTTGACAGCCTTTGGTTCTCTGTATCACAATCCCACACACCTCAAATGACCTACTTTATCTTCTGTTTAATTATTGTACTGAGTAACGAAGTTTATTTTTGAAAAGGCTTTTCCATAAAATTTTGCCATGCAATCAAGATAATGCCACCTTTGTTTACTCATGGCATCCTTAAAATGTGAGGATTTGACAAGAATGGACTTTTCCACAATTTATTCTTTATGCAGGTTCTGCTCACTGCCCTGCCATCCCACACCCCGTGTCTGTTACTGGAATCCCAAAGTGCTATCATGCTTCCAGGCACGGCCAACAGCCAAAAAAACCCGTAGCTAATTTCAAAGGAGTAAGGTAAAAGTAAAGGGACCCTTGACCATTAGGTCCAGTTGTGGCTGACTCTGGGGTTGCGGTGCTCATCTTGCTTTATTGGCCGAGGGAGCTGGCGTACAGCTTCCAGGCCATGTGGCCAGCATGACTAAGCCGCTTCTGGCTGTTTACCTTCCCGCCGGAAGGACCAATTTATCTACTTGCACTTTGACGTGCTTTCAAACTGCTAGGTTGGCAGGAGCAGGGACCGAGCAATGGGAGCTCACCCTGTTGCGGGGATTCGAACCGCCGACCTTCTGATCGGCAAGTCCTAGACTCTGTGGTTTAACCCACAGCGCCACCCACGTCCACGGCTAATTACTGTCATACATTTTCAGTTGAACCTATACTTAGTCATGTTCATAGACTTTTTCTTCTTCCTCTTCCTCCTCTACTTCCTCTTCTTCTTCCAATTGTACCTTGGTTGACGAACACCTTGCGACTTGAACGTTTTGGCTCCCGAACGATGCAAACCCGGAAGTGAGTGTTCCGGTTTGCAAACCTTCTTTGGAACCTGAACGTCCGTTTCGGCTGTTGGCACTGTTTCTGGACCCAATCAGCCAATCGGAAGCTGCGCCTTGGTTCATGAACGTTTTGGAAGTTGAACGGACTTCCGGAACGGATTCCTTTCGTCAACCAAGGTACGACTGTATTGTTATTGCCACCCATCCGACTGGGTTGCCCCAGCCACTCTGGGCGGTTCCCAACAAAATATTAAAAACACAATAGAACAGCAAACATTTAAAACTTCCCCATACAGGGCTGCCTTCATAAAACAAGCAAGCAAGCAAGCAAGCAAGCAAACAAACAAACAAACAAACTGTGTGGCAGGTAAGTCAGGTAGCAAAAGGATGGGCCACAGCTCTGCTCTGCTAAGCAGAGGATTATAGGAGCAGCAAAGGCAGAATTTCCAAAAGCCTTTAAAGCTTATTGCTTATCGTGACACTCGTATAGATGGAGGGTGACCAAGAACGATTCTGCCTCTTCTTACCTTGCATTCTTCATCCAGCAAGTCGAAGATACCCAGCTTGGCTTCAATAAGGTCTATGCATGGCTGGTTGTCGTAAAAATCTATAAGTGTCCAAGGGATCTGCTCCTTCATATATTCCTCCTGCTCCAGTTTAAACACATGCTGCAATGAAAAGACAGTAAAGGTCCGTCTGGATTTAGGAAAAACTAATCTGATGATAAATGAAGGAACGTTCTCAAGGGCCTACTGGGATTTTATTTTATTTTTTCAAAGCCCAGACAGTAAGTAGATGCCTAGTCACTCTCTAGATTTAATGCCTGCTTTAAATTCAGCCAGCTAGCCCTGGGGATTATCTAATTGATTTTGAATTTTGAATTTTATTGTTATTCATGTTTTTATACTGTATTTTATGCTATACTCTTAGAATTAAGTGTTTTAAAGTGTTTTAAATTTGTTGTTAGCCACCCCAAGCCTGGTTTTTGAACTGGGACGGGTGGGGTATAAATAAAATTATTATTATTATTATTATTATTATTATTATTATTATTCCAAATGTCTGATTCTCAAATGGTCACACACTGGGAAAGACGTGCAAAAATGGGCATTGAGAGTGAAACCAGAAGCACAGCCGTGTTGCCTTCTTCCCCGCAGGTAAGTGCTGTGTGTAAAGTGCTGGGTTAACACCAAGGTTGCAGGTTCAGTCCCCATATGGGACAGCTCCATATTCCTGCATTGCAGGGGGTTGGACTAGATGACCCTTAGGTTCCCTTCCAACTCATTCTTTCTCCGCCTCTTTTAAATCTAGGCTGACTGGGAAAGTGGCACCTGAGGATCACTATTATTAGTAGTAGCAGCAGTAGCAGCAGTGGCTTTCGAATAGCAGTGGAACGACAGCACCTGCCTAAGAGACACAGCAGAAAAGGAAAGGGGACTGGGAGGGAGGAGGAACAAAAAGCAAGCTCTGGCACTAATTCTTAGATACAGAGATCTTGTAGCCATCGGCAGGAACGGGGAGAAATTGGAGGACCCCGAATTTGCTGGTCTTTCAGCAACAGCCAACGGAGAGGTCCAGCATATGCACTGCTCTCCCTCTCTCGCTGCCTGATGCAGGAGAGAGAAGAAGCTTGCATCTTTTCATACAAATGTAAAGATGCAAACTAGCACTGGAGGAAAGAGTTTCACTGAAACTTTGCAAAGTTGCCCCAATAACGTTTCAGTGAAATGATTAATTTCATGGTCATTTCGAATTCCATAGGACAATGACTGGTTAGTTTTGGTTTTTGCTTTTTAAAAATTGTTTGGCTAGGGCAAGGGGGGGGTTACCTGTTGTGGGGAGGGTGTTCCTTGCTTTCTTCACCTGTATTTCATTTGTTATGGAGGAGGGGAAGGGGAAATTGAAATAGTGTTGCCTGCTTTTTGTGGGGGAGAAGGTTTGACAGAGCATAAACACCATTTCTTCTCTTAAATGTATATTTTGTAGTGTCCACATTCAGCAAGGCTGGAAAAACTTGGTTTTTTATATTAAAAGAATAGGATGGGAAAACTTTTATTAGTCAGGCCATTAGATAGTTGGGAACTCTGAGAGCTTCCTACTGTTGCAAACCACTGTGATATTTATGATACAGTGGCTTATAAAATTTTTTTTATAAGTAAATAAAACAAATACACGCAGTCTCTGAATCTGGGAGATGATTAAATGCATTTTCAGCTACAATTTAGATACAGGCTACTCTTCCTCACAAGAGTAAACCCCATTGAAACCAATGGACCATTATGTTAAGCAAGCATGCAAAAGATTATAGACCCACCATGAATACTGAGGGCTCATCTGTAATTTTAACATGATAAATAATACATCCTGTTTTCAGCGAAAACAAAACAACCTCAACTGAAAGAAAAAGCCTGTTGTGTGTTAAAAATGTAATGTGGTTGGAGACCCCCTTGCCATCTTTTACACATATTAAAAATATTTGCTTTTCTATCTATCCTTCTTCACCACATTTCCAGACAATGTCACTGTGGAAAAATAAAAACTATAAACCCAAATTACCGAGTTGAACTGCTGCTGGAGCTTTTCATTGGCATAGTTGATGCAGAATTGTTCAAAGCTGTTCACTTCGAAAGTTTCAAACCTGCAGACCAAAACAACATTCTCAGGTCAAGGCTACACAGAACCATTTCCAAAATCTGAGTTTGTAGTTACATTTTAATCGTTTGATTTTTATTTTTTGGGAAGCCACCCTGGGAAGAATGGGACGCGGGTGGCGCTGTGGGTAAAAGCCTCAGCGCCTAGGGCTTGCCGATCGAAAGGTCGGCGGTTCGAATCCCCGCGGCGGGGTGCGCTCCCGTCGTTCGGTCCCAGCGCCTGCCAACCTAGCAGTTCGAAAGCACCCCCGGGTGCAAGTAGATAAATAGGGACCGCTTACAAGCGGGAAGGTAAACGACGTTTCCGTGTGCGGCTCTGGCTCGCCAGAGCAGCGATGTCACGCTGGCCACGTGACCCGGAAGTGTCTCCGGACAGCGCTGGCCCACGGCCTATAGAGTGAGATGGGCGCACAACCCTAGAGTCTGGCAAGACTAGCCCGTACGGGCAGGGGTACCTTTACCTTTACCTTTACCCTGGGAAGATAGATAGATAGATGATAGATAGATAGATAGATAGAACTTTATTTGCATTAGCCAAGGCCATAGCAACAGTAAAACATTACAGTATACACATAAAAGGAAATTTGATGTAAGAGCACAATTTAAAGTCCTGAATCAGTCGTCAGTTAGTGGCCCTTATTCTGACTGCCCCTGCTATGAACCTAGCAAACTTTGCTGTTATCTGCTCATTTTGATCTGATATTGTGGCAGTGGTTGAGCGCCCTGGGATGGTTAGTACGAGTGGGGTGATGATTTCGTTGCTCAGGTCTTTGTAGAGAGTACAGGACAGGAGGACGTGTGCCGCTGTTTCGGTGCTACCATCTCCACAGGAGCAAAGACGTTTCTCAGGCGGGATCTTTTGGAATCGACCCTCAAGTACCGCAGATGGCAAAACATCCCAGTCTTGCAAGTGTAAAAGCACGTCTGCATTTTGGGATAAGAAGTTTGTGCAGATATGGGGCCAGAGAATCAAAATGGAGAGGTGGAAACTGAACATACCAAGGACAGAATTTCCTTATAGCGGCCAGGTTGTTCTGATGCTCGATATCTTTTAGACGTCGACCAATTAGCCTGTTTGCTTTAGTAGGGGCCACCCTGGGAATATGAGACCCCCACTGTGCTTCTCTCTCTCTCTCTCTCTCTCTCTCTCTCACACACACACACACACACACACCCTCCGTCCTGAAGGTACTTCCTCTACCGCCTCAGGACGCTGGGCTACAAGGGTCATTGGCCTGATCCAATACAGCTCTTATGTTCTGAATGACCTAAACATCTAAATAAGCACCACCTTTCTCTCTGTCGCTGTCTCCCTTCCCTCCCTCCCTCTGTATTTATTGGGAAAGAAGAAGGCGAAAACATGAGCTTCTTTCTATTCAATTAATAAAGCTTTTGAGAAGATAAAAAGGCAGCTAAGGCAGAACACTTCCACTGGACCATAAAGATAAAGGGCTTAAAATGTATTTTTGTTGTCATTTTTTAAGGGCTGCATTTGTAACTCTCCAGGCTCTGCAATCTTGTTATTTAATACAGGCGGCATTCAGTTAAAAAATGTCCCCCAATTTTCCCGATTTTATCAGATTAAGAGCTCCTCTATTGTCATATACAACAGCTTAACTCTAACAGAGCAAGAGAAGTGAAGGCTTAAGATAAAACCATTGGCTTAAGATAAAACCATTAACTTTTTCAGTGTGTAAGTGTGCTGCTCCAATGGAAATCCAATCCCCCCATTTTGAGGTCGATTAAGGAAATTTCTGCTCAACGTCTCAGATTTAGGCTGTTAAAAATATATTTGTGATATTGTGATTTCAGAATGCAGCCTAAAAATTGGGAAATGAACTGTCCCTTTGTCTCCATGAAAGAAGAGACAAATACGGAATACAAGATGTTTTCCTATGATGAAAGATGAACCAGAGATTTCAGAAGAGCAGCTCTTCTGGATAGTGGACCAAAGGCCTGTCTCATCTGGCATATTATTTCCCAGAATGTCCAATGCCTCTGGAAAGACCATGAACACAACAAAGTTGATGCTCTGATAGTCTCTACATTAGACTACTGCAATGCGTTGTATGCAGGGCTGCCTCTGAAGATGATTTGGAAACTTCAGCTGGTGCAGAATTCAGCAGCCAGGTTGCTCACTGGGGAAGAAGGTTTCAGCATATAATGCCAATCCTGGCCTGACAGTTTCTGGGCCCAATTCAAAGTGCTGGTTTTGACCTATAAAGCCTTAAATGGCTCAGGAACACAGTACCTCAAGGACTACCTCTCCCTATATGAACTGACCCAGATCCTGACATCACCCTCTGAGTCCCTTCTTCGTGTGCCTCCTTCATTAGAAGTCCGAAGGGTGGCAACATGAGAATGGGCCTTTTCTGTGGTGGCTCCCCATTTGTGGAATGCTCTCCCCAAGGAGGCAAAATGTTTCTCTATAACCAGGCCTTTGGCTGACAGAATATTATACGGCCTTTAAAATGTGTTGTGGGAGAGGGGTTATTGGTTTGCGTTTGATTTGCTTTAGTGTTCACATTTTGTAATTTCAATATTATGAACTGCCTTGTGGTCTTCAGTTGAAGGGCGGTCCACAAAATAAACGAATGAATGAAATGGAGGCAGCGGCTCTCTCCCACTGCTTCTCCACAGCAATTAGTATTCACGGTCATTCTGCCTCTGATCCTGGAAGTATAACCATCAAGACTAGTAGACACTGATAGCCTTATCCCTGGTGAATTTGTCTAATCCCACTTTAAAGCCAACTAAATTGGTGGCCATCACCACATTCCGCTGACAGGGAGGACAAAAACAACATTTCCTGCAATGACACATCAGCCCAAATCCGATGAGGATAGCCTGGGCTGCCAAATATGCAGAGTAACAAACTAAGTGAAAAACAGAGTTTTACTTTTTCTTTCCGAGTGTGAACTGTAAACATGGGAAGTCGCCAGTCCTAGCCTCACCTCACACAACCCACCACCTCCCAGCCTCAGTCTCCCTATTTGCAATACTGAGATAGTAACAGTGATCCATCTTGCAGGATTGCCGTTACTGAGCAGGGCATTGTACAAAAACGTGTGAATAAAACGAACTCGCTTGTGCAAACTTCCCGCCCCATCTCTCTTCACCACCAGGGTCCCCTTCCAGATTGGGACCCACTATTCACTTTTAAAACAACAATACCACCATTCACACAATAGTTAACTGGGGGCATCTGACTGGCCACTCTGTGAACAGAATGCTGAACTGACACGGGACTTTGGCTCTTATGCCCTTATGAATTCATACATGACACACAAAACACCAGAGACAGGCTCAAGAGTACTTGTTAACACAATGTATGAAAACACCCTAAGGCTGGAAACATTGTGGAGTTTTTAAAAGCAAGCTAGAGAGATGGTATGATAAAGCCTAAGTTACTAATTCCCCTTTTCTTCTTCTTTGTTATCTGGCACTTCTTTCTCAACAGAAACCCAAAGCACAGACATGCCAAATTTTTAAAAAATTAATAATGCACCCAGTCATAGTTATAGGTCGTCTTCTTCCAGATAAAAACAAAACCATGTACACTGGAGTTTATCCAATTTCATTCTCACAGCTACTAGGGCTAGGCTGAGAAAAGATTGACTGAGAAAAGTCAGCCAAGGAGTTCGAAGACTGAGTGGGGATTTGAACCCAGATCTCCACAACACTAACAGCTACAGCACACCAACCTTCTGCAAAAGAGAATTCTTTTCTTTCTATTTCTGAAAAATCAGAAGCTGCAATTATACACTCCCCAGGGAACCAAAACATTCTGCAGGATGAGTACTGGACTAAGTCTGAAGGAAGCATTGCTTATCATGAAAAATGTAAAGCCACAGAGATTTCAAATTGAAGATGAAAACAAAATCTTAAAAACACATACAATTTGCCAAAATGTTTTAGCTTTCTGGAGTGTTGGGCATTTTTGAATCCTGGAAACACCTAGTAAGCTTAATAAGACACTGGCGGTTTTGCTGGAAAGCCATAACCAAAGGATCAGCCTGCCCACAAAGATTGGAAAAGATCCAACTGTCCGCAGTGTATGTTTCTCTATGCAGAAGATATGCTTAACTTTTGTCTTCCAAGCCCATTAGAAGCATTAAGAACATTAATAATTTACTTGCCTGGGGCTCAAGGGTTATAACTTCTGGTTTCAAAGCTGGAAAAACGGCCATGGAAAACTCAAGTAATTTAGTTCAAGACTTCTGCTTACCTCAACAGGCTACTTGACTTCCAGGGCACATGGTTATCTTATCAGACTATATGTGGG